CCATCTCCTGTCCCCAGCTGCCGTCTGGGACTTAGTCCAGCCTGGGACTTTTTCCCCGGGGGCTGCTCCCCAGCTCCGGGTGACGCTGATGCGTTTGCCATGAGGGGCGAGCTGGGTTCGGGACTACCTTTGTATATATTGGTACATAGTCTAATTTCATTGTCATTATTACTATTATTATTAGTGGTAGTATTAAAGCTCTTTTCTTTCCTTTTCTAATCAACAAGTCTCTCCCCCTTATTCCCTTTTTTTGGTGGGGGTTAACAGAGAGTGTCTGTTACGGTTCTGGGGGCTGCCCTGCCCCCAAACCGCCGCAACACTTCATTCAGAAATGGCACTTTAACTTGATCTTATTTCTATTCAAAGTTCACACTTCTCATAGTGGGGGAAGTGGTAATTACATATACGCTTCAAGATGGTGATGATGTCAATACTTAAGTCTTGAAATAAATACAGTTAAATCTTACAACAGAGAGACCATACCTTATATAACGGACGCCGCACGTCAATGGGACAGTTCTGTATGACTTCATCAACCACATCCGAAATGGACTCCATAAAATCAGGATTAGCAAACTAAAATGAAATAGAACAGGCATTAGATTTTTCATTCTAAGGATGGAGAAACAAGAAGGCAGAAGTGAAACTGTAGAGTGATTTTGTAACAGCACTCCTACAGGGGAAGACAGGGAATCACAGTTAGTATTACTCCTGCTCACCACTTATTCTACATTGTAACAAACCCACTTCTGGACAAGGGAAATGAGAATTTCCTTTCTCTGCTGAATTCAGCTTCTCCCTCTTGGTCATAAATTCACAGTTTATCATTTACACACTACAGAGCTACTATTGCATGTGACACAAGTTGAGAGTTCTCCTGCAGTACTAAACATACTGTTACTGTGCAACACGGTCCTGTCTTTCCTTTTAAGTGAAATGAATAATATCAGTGTGCAAACTGGAATGCCCTTCTAAAAAAACTTTCAAACCTACCAAAATACTTAGGTTAAACTCCCACCAAAAATCAGATTTTTTTTTTTTCCAAGCACAAAACAACTCTAATAGTCAGAGGCATAAATACTCAAGGATCTTCAGTGAAAGTCCCCATCAATGCAAACATCAATACAATGCTAGGGTAGATTTCTGCATTTATACATAGTAGAGAAAGTTGCTAATAGTAGAAAATATTGTTGGACCAGTGGCAATATTCCATTTAAATTTTAGCACAATTTTTAAGAAAAGGATCAGTTCATAGCCTGGATTTCAGAAATTAAAAGAATTATCAATATGTATCTATAATAATAAATTATTATAACTTTAAAAACTTTCCCAAAGGTGTAGGAACTATTTGGGATTTACATCCTAAACATGATGAAGTATTTAACTGGATGAGTAACAAAAGTCAAAACACAAGAAGTATACACTGAACTGAAAGAGAAATTAGCAAAGGAAGGTGGCTTGGAGATCAGGAGCCATAAGAATGATGTGAAAAATCTCCAAGAATTCAGGCTAATTTCCACAGTAAGAATTAATCATGCAAGAAGATAAAACATGAAGACACAGAAATGAAAAGAGAAGAAAGATGCAGTATTGTTTCACATGGAGAGCTCTGATCTGAATAAACTACAGCCTGAAAACCACCCCAAGCTCTCCGTAAAGATATTGATAAAACAGCAAGACAAAAGGAGTAATAAGAAATGGGAGTTAGGGCATCCAAAGCAGAGTATAACGAGCTCTCAGAATGGGGACAAGAGAACTGACATATGAAATTGCAGTCTGCTAGCAAATACCACATTTGGAGAAGAGCAAGTAAACATACCTAAGAAATAATGTGGGTAACTACAAGCCCCAAAGCCAAAATTCAAGAGTATTAAAGGCTTCAGAAAAAAATTTTGTAAACTGAAAATAGGGAAAAGATTACAAGACAGCTTTACCAAAGGCAACTTTTACCTAGCTAACTCGACACCCTTTGAAGTGAGGAGTGAATGAAGTCCAGCGAGAAATTCTCTTTGGATGCAGTACGTGTGTTTTTTCTTGTCTAGAAAGTCAGTTCAGTTTTGGTTTTATTTTCAATACAGAGCCAAGAAACTATCAAGAAATGAAGAAAATGGAAATTAGTCCTTTATCCTGTTCCTGACAGTCTTTGAAGGACTATGGAAAGAGGAGCTATTAAAATGATGCCTGACATGGGACTCAATGCTTCTCTGTAAGACCACAGGTAAACAGCAGGGAGGACAAAATACTTAGCCCAGAGGTTTAGTGTTGGCACAAGATCAGATGGCTCCAAACTGACCACAAAGACATAAAGGCTGAAATTCAGACAAAAGGTGAGAGAATTAGGGTTTTTTTTTTACATCCTCCCAATAGGAGGAGGGTAGACAAAGGGAAACTTCACCAGTGGGTCTTGATTAAATTTTTTAATAGTACTACAGGCTACGGGTGCCTGCAGTAAAGTCAGTGGAGTGTGTAAGAATGGAGAGAATCTTCTCTGCTATGTTGTAGCACTAAAACTTAACTCTTTACACTCAAGCTGAACCACCAAAAATCAGACAGACTAGGTATTGCAGTGTTTCCCAGAACTGCGTATGTTACTTATGGCCACGTCAGAGATTTCTATGGACCCTCCTCAAGGACAAATTTAAAATCCACACTTTATGAACTGACTCAGTCTCAAAAGTCAGCATCCAAGATTTAGAATATTATCAGTGCAACGCTACCACGTAGAGCAGTGCCCAAAAGGACTGGCACCACAATCAAATACACAGTGTCAAGGTGCACTGGTTTAAACCAGTGCTGAAAGAAAAAAGGAAAATACTGCATAAGATCTGTAAGTCCAAATAATTTAATCTCAATTTTAGAATACCTTTAAAGAAACAGATAAGATGGTTCCAATGTTACATGGGATATTAGAAAAATAACTACCTGGGCTCACATTTTTCTGGGCTTAATTTATCTGCAGAGAGAGAATGCACAAGGCTTGCAGTGAGGTGACTTACTGATGTACTTCCACGCGATGGCGCACCGGCACCAGAAATAACAGAACCTCCCTCCCTCCCCCCCCCCTTCACTCAGCCAGTAAACTTACTTTAATATTGCTAGTTCCTATTCTTACCTCAGGATGAAAGAAAATTTCGGGTCCAAGGAACCTTTCATAACCCACATCTATAACAAACTTGGTTTTGTTGATTGCATTGATGCCAGTGTACTGTTTGATCCATTTCCGAGGGTCTCCATCGTACTTGGCAAATTCTTTCACTATGTCAGGGCAAATGTAACAGTATTTCTCCTGTTAAGAAATACTATGCATTAAAAATTGCCAAAATAACTATTCCAACATTGAACTAAAGTAGAACACAATTGGAAAACAAAAATACATGAGCATTCTTACAGATGGGGCTGTTCAACAGATGTTCTCCCCCAAATGACTCCTGAGGACAGCCCTCCAAGACATGCACACGCCCCATTTGCTTTAACAAGACTGCACCACTGACTCCACTAGACTGGTCTCTCTCAAAATGAAACTACCACAACTATTAGGCCTGTGGCAATGAAGAATTTCAGTGGCAAGTTTTCACTGCACCATCAGACCCACACAATCACCCTACTGACATTATACACAGGTATTTTTTACTAAATTAAAAAGCAAATTTTAAACAAAACTAAAGCTTAAAATGCTGATTTAATCTGCAGAACATATTCACTCCAAACAGTCTAGCATGAAGCTTTCATTCCTCTTTCCCCTTCCCCCACACCTGATTGGATAAACCACCAGAAGCTTGTGTAATTACAATACTGCCTACATTTGTATTTTTAAAACAGCCATAGGCAACTTGTTAAAGCCAAAAAAAATTAGCTCACAGAGTTTTACTTATGTATTTATTAAGACATAAGGAAAGGTGTACCTTTATGGCTTTTGCTGTCTCCAGAGATTGTTCAGGAGGAATTCCCACCTCCCTTTCCCTTAGGAGCTGTTGAATAAAGTAAGTAATATCTCTACCTGCAATAGGAATATGTTTGATGCAGCTTCCAATTACATAGCCTTCTGCCTGTGTAGGAGGAGAAGCAAAAAATATTTAGGGAAAAAAAAAAATCTACTGTGTATCAATAATTAACAGCAAAACTAGCATTCCTTTTTATAATGCTTTGGTTTGATTTTTAATTAAAAGTAAAATCTTAAAGCTGTAAAATTACTATAAAAATGCAAAACCTACTGAATAGTGGGTAATATTTTGATTTAAAAGACCTTGATTACGACGAATTAGTAAATTTAATAGATAAGACAAATTATAGACAAAAAGATCCTGCACACATTAGAAGACAGTCTGATCAGTTGGTTCCTTTTAGGAATGACCTGAAAAGCAGATGAAATATAAATAGACCACTCATGTACTGTTTGATAGAAAAATAATAATAGGAAAGAATATAAAAATTATTAAAATTATCAGACAAGAAAAAATGAAGCTAACTTTCAAGCAATAGGCACAAAAAAAACCCCTAAGAAATCTATTTGCTGAATTTTTTTCAGGATGCATTTACTGAAAACACTGGTATTGCTGAACCAATGTTATTTCTTCCCTTGTTGGTTTTTGGTTTGGTTTGTTTATTTTCTCTTCTTTTTTCTTTCACGCTCACTTTTCAGAGTTTCATATAGTAAACCCTGATTTTTCCCATCATTTCCCATATGAAGAAAATACTGAGAAGACCAGATTAATATCAAAATCAAAAATGCAAAATTAAGTTTGAGGAAAGCAAATTTTCATTTATAAAATAACTGACCACTCAAGCACACTATATGCTTCAGAAATACACAAAATTACACCAACACATGTCAGTATGCATAGATAATTCTGTATTTTTAACATCTACCATAATTAAGCTGTAGGAGACTGACCATGTATATGAACATGCATTTATACAAGATTGTAGCTGTCAACACCAGCAGAGATCACTAGCTTCTAAAATACAAAAAAGCCATACAAAAAGCACATGTTAGCAGCTATATTAAACAATCAAAATGCAGGACATCAAAAAAGTTATGACATCTCATCAGATGTTGGTAGCATGCAGGAGGTCCAAAATAAGCATTAATATTAAACGAAAGAAAGGCATGACAGTAACAGAAGACAAGGTTTGACATAGAAATAGCCTTTAAAGGATGGCCTAATGATTCCTTGATATCTCCTTTCTAGTCAGCAAGCTAATTTAATTGCATAAGTTACAATCACAAAAAATAGATACTTTCCAAAACAATTGTAAGGGAGGCAAAAATCCCAAACAACCAAACAATCCTGAAAGTTTAAAAATAAAGTTACATTTGACACTTGTTATTTAAATCTGTAGTAAGCAAACCCTGTACTTGTCCAAAACATTGATCATTCCAAATTCCACCCTGCTACATACCACAGGAATCACGTGGGTGACTCCGTCCCCACTATCGATGACAATTCCAGTCAAAGTACGCTCTCCAACCTGCCGTGATGTCCAAGAGGCAGCCAAGGCCAACACTGCCTGCATGAGAAGGAGTTTATATTTAGAAGCAGGTAGAATGTGCTGATTTACAATCTCAGAAAATACCATTTCAAACATTTCAGACCTGTGCATGCAGAAGACTATACATACTGCAGCTATAGTGGACTTTAGAAGCATACATTCACTTTGGTCACCTGAACAGCAATGTAAAGTCCTGGTATGTTAAATGACTCAAACATGATTTCTGCAAGATACTCTCTGTTCTCTGGTGTGTTTAGTGGAGGCTCTGTCTGGGGAAAAAAAAAAAAAGTTTTGAAAAAGCACCTCAGTAAAGTCCTGAGTTCATGCACCGATTAGCTGGTGGTATGGTAATCAAACTTAAAATTCTCAGTGCACTCAAAACAGAAACTTTCCAATAGAATGTAGTTTAAATAAAGTGATTGAAGCTTTTCAAAACCAATATCCACCCTGCAATAGCCTGCATTACAAAATGAACAGAATTTAGTCATAATGCAGCTTTAGAGGTTGCCTTCATTCTCCCTCTCTCCCACCCCCCAGTTTCAGAGAAATAGCCGTAGAGAGAGAAATACCTTCCAAAAGAGCCACCTGTGATTGGATTATTAGTTTTGCCTCATACCCAGTCTCATTAACTCACCATTAAAAAATAGTGATCTTCGGGTTCAGCTCGTAGGTATTTAAAAATGACCTGCTCCATAAATCTCTCCATGAGGTCCCAGTCCTCAACAATACCATGTCGTATAGGCCACTGAAAGCAGGAGAACTTGTCAACACTCTAGACCACACAAGGATAAACAAACCCAGAAACAGGCACAGTCTAAGCCCCCAAACCTTTCCATCTTCTGCAAGAATTAAAACACCTCATCTCCTGGTTACCTTATCAAATCCTCCATTCTAATTCTAATTTAGAGGCACTATTTGAAATTATCTCCTGCTCCCAGGTACTTCAAATTGTGCTTCTATCTTGCAGGGCTAGAAGCCAGAAGCCAGACTCCACTCCTAATACTGCTAATGCTCTATTGTGGCACTGTGTTTTAACCTCCTCTTGTATAAGTTTTATCATCTATAAAATTGAGAATCATACTCAGCTTCAATATGTCTTCCCATCTATAAAAAGAAATAAAGACCATATAGGCTGTATATTTTTCAGAAAAAACTCTGGCAGGGATGCTGTTTACATTTTGTTCAATGTTAAGAACACAGATGACATTTAAGTAATACAGTAGGATGTATAAAATATGATTTTTTCCACGTAATTCATAAGCCAGCAACATTTTGTAAGTACAAGAAGTCCTTTACTAGGATATGGAAAATATGATTCACAATAAAGCTGCATTGAAGACAGCTCCCCACAAAACAATTGTGACATTCCCTGAAGCAAAAGTATCCAACACATTCCCCAGTTCATATGCTGTGCTAGGAGAATATACTTTAAGCAAGAACTTAAATAACCAATGTTTATGACTACTTTAATAGCTAATAATTTAGAAAACTGAACAGCTGCCCTGCATCAATGGATTTTTACACAAGGGCTCAAGCATCAACCACACAGGTCAGCACTAGGAAAACAGACATTTACAAAACATTAAAGCCATGTACCAAATAATGTGATTTTTAAAAAGCAACAAAAATACATTACAAAAAAGCAAATGTGTATTTTAAATGGCTACCAAAAAAGCTGTAGAACATTATAAAATAAAAAAGCAAAACTTTGGGAAGACTTCTTAAAAATACTCAATTCCTACCTTTGTAGCATAGGTAGGTTTATCTATGGCTTCATCTCCTATGAAAAAGTCCAGATCATCAACACCTTTCATCACCCTCCTCTGAGCCTGGTCACCTACTTTGGCTGATTCTCGGATTGCAATACCTTAAAATAAAACCCAAGCAAATCAAAACAAAATTAAAACAGCTAAACACCAAATAATTAATATATATTGACTTAGGGATTCTTTTCTAGAAATAAAAATGAGGACATCAAAAGCATCGTTTCCAGGAAGTAGAAATTATGTATGCAACCTATCGACCAGACAATATAGCAGAGGTCATTCTCACTGCATCATGCAGGATTAGGTGAATAATAATTCATTAACAGGAATAATAACTCAGAGAAAATGTTACAGACTACAGCTATTACTAAGCTTGTGGGAGTGCAGCATTCCACTGGACATACTCTTTAAGCCACTAAGGAACATGATTTTCCGAGTTTCAACTCTAGAATTAAGAGAAAGAGCACAGGAGGAGAAGAAAATAAACGATGTACTTCAGAAGTAAGTATTGGAGTCATTATCCCAGTTGGTGAGAAGGAGGTAGGGGAGAAATCAATTTGCAGTGCTGCAGAGAAATCTTTGGAGACACTTATGGTTCCCGTTAGCAGACTGCAACTATCACTAAAGTTGTTAGATGATGGCTGTTATAGGCAAGATGAGACAGCAAAAAACAAATCTGGGTCAAGCTATAAATAAAAATGGAATAAAATACTCTGAAAACATAACCTTATTTACATACAGTTTTAATATGTCATAATCAGGATCTGACATGCAGTAGAAAATGCAGAGTAGACAGGCATCATCCACAAACATGCCAAATACTAACAACACCAAAAAATACTGACAGGCAGACAACTCTTCTGGAAACACATCTCAGCCCCAACAAGTTTAAGGTTTTATAAAACAGGATTTATAACAAATTCACATGAAACTCTGATACCTCACTTCTTTAACATAAGATATTTAAATCTTTACCAGTGGTTTAGGTTTGAATACATCTGGTAAAGAGCATGTCCCCCCTCTACCTCTTCAGTCTCCAATTACTTCTGGTTATTTCCTTATCTTTAGTCCTTCTTCTCTGAGTAGCTACAAGGCAGTCTTGAGGCATTAATAAGCAGTTAACTGACAAAGTTCACAAAAAAGTAAAATGCATTGGTTAACTTGAGTGGAGGTGACAGTGATACACTAGGTGCCATTATAGATGTAAATACATAGGCAGTATTACCATTTGTAGATATATGTAGACTCTGAGAGAAACTATCAAAACAACAACTAAAACTCAAGAAAGCCAGAAAAGTGTAACATTTTAAAGAAACTTAACATACAAACAAATTGAAAATAAACCTGCTCAACAAAAGCATGTCAAATGGGCAAAACCATTTTAGTTGGTAAACACATACCCAAAAAGACAATTTCCTAACAGGAACAACTTTTTTGAATATTAAACTGTCTGCAGTGCCAGACGATGTAAATCAGGCAGACACCACCTGCACTTCAGCACTTAACTTGATTGGAAGCCCTCCCCAGATTATCCCAGTAGTAACCATGGTGTCAGGTAGACAGGAGGTAAATTGTGTTCTGCCTACTCAAGAGCCCTGGCAGAAAAATAATGGAGATAAAAAGGAAATTGGACTGGAGGTCTCTTCATCTTTGTCACAGCAACCAAGAGATGATTTAATGAGCAACAGTTCTAGCTAAGGGCAAACAAGGGTTTGTGTTTAGCTACACTCAGCCAAAGAAGCTGACACAATGAAGAACCCTTCCCAGATGGACAGGGGACAACGAAGGCCGAGCTGGGCGTTTGAAAGCATGTCACTGACTCATGGAAGTGCTCAGTGACAGTGCTGTACATCAGAATGGGGAGGGACAAAGAATTACTCACATGATGGGATAATGAACTGAGGTTCTGTATTTCCTGCATAGCCAAGTTTCGTATACCTAGAAAAAAAAGATCACAAGGTCATTAAATGCACTTAGGCCTAAAAAAACCCAAATACTTTCAATTCACTACACTTCTTGAAGTGAAGGCCAGATAATCGCCTACCACATCTACATTTTCCGGGTTATGCTCTCAAGCGTCATCCTGCTGAGTAGAAAACTCACAAGTGGTAAATATTTTAGGTGTCATTTATTTTTCAGACACCTTCAGCTTACAATTTTTGGTATTTTTTTTTTCCATACTACCAAATCTGAAAGCTCAGCTCTTACTTTCTCCATCTTGTTAGCCAGCTATGACAAAAGACCTGCAGGGTGCATTCTGCCCTTTGGTTAAAGGAAGCTTTCAGGAAGCTACCAGGACCAAAGACAGCATTAGTCTTTGCATATATGTTTAATATTATCAAATAAAAAAAAGTTAAAAAGACCCCACACACACAAAAACCCAAAACCACATGTCTTAAGTACAATGGCAGTTCAGAAGTCTATTTGTAATCCTGATGCAATCCCCTTTCATGCCTTGCACAAACCACTCACTTTGTCACAGGTATAGTATCCGTGTGTGGATATAGCACAGATGGTACAAAGCACTGTCTGCCTCTCTCAGTATACATAAAATATCTGTTTTAACAAATAAAGTATCAAAAGAAAAATGAAACTGGCAACGTGGGGATGGAAAAAAGAAAAGGAATTTAGAAATAAAACGTAAAAACTCTGCAAGGTGTTGTCTGTAAACTCGTTCAGGTCTTCAGCAACTAGAAATAATTAACATCCCAGACTATGAAAGCCAGCCCAAAACCAAACCAAAATTAACTGAACAGTGGAGAGACTGAAGTCTTTCTCCAATATTGTCATCAGATTGGAATAAAAGTACAGTAATAGCCTTATCTGAGGTAAGCTGGCATTATTCACATCTATTTTTACCATGAAAACCTAAACCTATGACATTCTTAAATGGGACCAATCATAATTCAGGTCCTAAAGTGAATTTAGTCTTCATCTATAGCCTGCTCCCAATATCTGCAAACAATATTATGCTATCACTAAAGCAGAGGATTGCTTCTTCAGTAACAGCTTCAATAGTAAGTTCCTCTTTATGGAGTATTTGACATAAAAATACTCATTAAGAGTTAGTTTGCTTAGATAAAGGCATTAAAGCAAAACTGAATTAGCAGTGACCTTGGAATTTAAATATTGTATTTTCAACATCTCTTCAAAGCTATAGCTTCAACAGACTTCAAATAATAGTTAAAAAAGTCATTTTCCCCAAGACTAAAAGACAAGGACTATGTTCTGGGGGCACGGGTGTGTTGTGTTCTTAATCACCATTATATGGGCATATGCTTTGTCTTATCCAAAATGTTCACGCTTATCTCCTGTGGCTCTCAAAAATTATAATCATGACATTAACTTAGACTGATCTGTAAAGAAGGCCATGACTAGTAAGAATACTTTTTATGATTATTATTGCATAGTTTCTGCAGATTTTAGAACAAGGCCTAGCTAGGGAATATTGTTAAAACGTAAAAAGCAACAACAGGAGTTACACTGGGATTTAAGATGCATTTCAGGATACTTAACTCTTCTCTCTGAAATGGGTTGTGCTCAGATGCACAGTGAGGACGAAGGAAACTGGTTTTGGATTCAAGAGACTTAGTTCTAGGACTTAAAAATGGCAATCAGGCAGAAAACTCATGAAAACGACTCTTCAAGCCTCAGTGACAAAAATCAATATATACTTGCATACACCTATACCTAACCATGGAAATATGCATATATACTTTTTTGTACAATTTCTATATGTGTGCACATATATATATAAAAAATCAAAGGTTCCTGCAATATAACCAGAACTCATTTCTTAAATTAACCTTTAGCCAAGAGGCAAGTCCAGTTTGCCATCTCTTCCCCTCTACACACATGCTACTCACACCCACTCAGTATTAAGAAGAAAACACCCTCAAAAAGTCAACTTGGGCTATCAGCCTGCAATAGCTTTACCTTCTCTCTCAAGCAGGCATCAGATTCCCCTACCAGAATAGATTATAAATTTAGCAAAAGTCTATAGCTCAATATTTTACTGATTTATTTTTTCCAATAGCCGATTTAACCTGCTAAAAATACAGGATAAGCTTATTCCTCTGTATCAGTGAGAAATAGTTCTCTCCAAAGAACACATCTCACAGAAGATGATATATGGAAAGATTTAACATGCCATTAATCCATGAAGGATTAATATTTTAACTATGAGAATAACTAAATTCTCAGTTCAACACTGAAGCCAGGAAGTGGAAAAAAAACACTGTTTAAAAAAAAAAAAATCAGTAAAAAATAAGAGATACTTGAACAAGCAGCCATATTTCAGGTGTTTTGACAAAACCCAGTGGAAGGAAAACTCAAACTACTCTCAAAAGCACTGAGGAAGAGAAGGAAAAGAGATGATGCAGTTGCACTGCCCTTTCTTACCCAGCAGCCTATTCACTCAGGGCATGCCAGACTTGGTCCTAGGCGTTTCTTCTGCTCAGTAGGACCCGAAAACACGTTCCCTTCCAGAGCCATACCCAAGAGTACATTAAAGTGTTTGGGTGACCCACTTCCAGGACCGCCTACAGAGATTTTTCCCTTTTATACAAGATATTTAAATATTCATTGACCTGAAAGGCTCCGGACTTAAACACTTAGAGAGGTTACCTGGTCTCCAGTCCCTTCTCCAATTAATATTTAAGCATCTAAAACATGATTTTCTTTCTCCTGGGTTACAGCCTGGCAGACTAATGGTAATGCAGCGTCTTGTGATCTGTAAATTACAGAGACAGCTGTAGGGAATGTGTAGATAATCAGTATTCCAACTTCATTTCATTAAAAGTAGCAGATTTATTGCCAGTGAGATAGGAACCTACTGGAAAACCTCCAAAATATAGGAAACTGGAGGCTGCATTAAAGATGAGTAGAAAACTGATCCAGCAGACTAAGGCTAGGGGATTTGGAGGGACTACTCAGTTTTTAAAAAAAAAAAATCACTGGAAATTATATATTGTTGCAACTAGCTTTTTCTTAAAATAGTGTTGTCTCCTACACACTATTTTTCCCAGGTGATTAGTTAGGACACAAATCAGTTTCACTGGCCTTTGCAGGAGGAATCCTAACTGTGTTCTCTTCTGAGGTCCTACCACAGAAAGATGGAAAATCTTACACAGAAGAAAGACTGCAGAGACATACAAACGGGCTGAACTTGGAATCAGATACTGTAGCCTTAATAATATTAAAAAGCAGAGATATATTTTGGAAAGTTCTTACGAAAGCACACAAACATAAATTAGGCATTTAAGACAACAAACTCAAGCAGCTGCTTTATCCATCTCAAAATGCAAGACATTCAATTTTTCTCTGGACAATACTTGCAAAAGACCAAAGCCCAGCTCTGAGCGTTCTAGCATTTCCTCAATTTCTAATGTTTTTTTTTTTTTCCCCAGATCTTTAACATATGTTACATCACAAAAAAAAAATAGCTCTTAGAAGATAAAGTGATTGAAAACAGCAAAATTCTTTAAGGAATTCCTGTAAATAGACCAAAAATAACCACTATGAAGAGCACACTGTCCCTGGCAGGTACGGTGCTCAGTAGCTACCACCACTACCAGGCTGCACTGCAAACACGCCGGAGCAACCTGCAACACGAGGTCTTCACAAAGACATGGAAAGGCACTTCTGAAAGGAAGGAGGGCGAGATGAAGGAATGGAATTTAGAACGAAGGAATGAAGGAGGAAATATCAAGCAGGAAAAAAAAAAAAAATCTATAATTTCTGAAAAATTTACCCAAGAGCACCAGCAACCACTGAGGAATAAAGTGTGCATTAGAGCCACTGCATTTTTTGAGAGTCTGAGAACTTCACAGGACTGAAGCCTGTGATTATAAACAAGTTAATTAACCTGAGCTCCTTAGACCCAGAACAGCAATTAGAATAATGCCTGTTCACAAGTCTCATATATAAAGAGCAGAGGTAATACTTAGCTAAAGCAACTCATTTAGCATCAGAGATATAGTAAGAAGGGGAAAAACATAACCTGTTCTGAGGTTCCAGCTATCTTTAATAGACCAGCAACAACAAAAACCACCCTAAGTTTCAATTTTTAAGACAATTTCAGTTCAATTCGCCAACAAATCAAGTATTTACCTCCAAGCGCATCAGTAAGACTCTGCCAAAGTAATTTTTCTGTACTAAAAGAAAAATGGAGCAGCTTCAATAAAATACATCCAAAATAGAAGTGCTCCTCAGTGTCTGCAAATACGCACACTGAAGAGAAGTATTTTAAGACATCTTTGTTTCGCACACCCACCTACCAGCATTCAGATATCCCACAGCTAAATGCCAGTTAATAAAATTAAAGTTTAAAGCTACATAAAACAGCAATCCCAAAAAGGCCTGGTAGCCCTAAGAAACTAAAAATAGCACGCCCTTCTCCACAAAAAGACTGACAGCAATGTGTAAACTGATCACAGGGAAGACCTCACGCAACGCAAAGGAAGATGTGGTGCATCACAGCTGAAGGAGGACAGGTCATTTGCAAATACTAATGCAAAAGATGATAGAAAATTATTATCACCTTCTGCAAAATTTGTGAATAATAAGTGAACAGCTTATTATAAAGGAAGTTAAAGTCTTCTGTCCAATAGAGGAAAGGAATGTTACCCTGTGTTGCTATGACTGTTTCCTCACTGAAGGTCTGTACCTATTTTCCCTA